AACTACACTTCCTAAATATAGATAATTGTGGAAAATACAACTTTGCATGATGGATGCATAAGTCCAAAATTGCAATAGATTAAGCCCTTTCTGAATATATATATATATATATATATATATATATATATATATATATATATACACACACACATATATAAATAGGGTGATTAAAGAAGAAAGTTACGCACAAATAGGAAGAGAACTACACTTCCTAAATATAGATAATTGTGGAAAATACAACTTTGCATGATGGATGCATAAGTCCAAAATTGCAATAGATTAAGCCCTTTCTGAAATTGCTTTCTATTGCTGAACACTTAAACCATAAACACGAATGTATAAACTGATCACATGCATGCATGTGAATGTATAAGCACATATAGACACACTACATACACTTTTTCTGATTAACATTGGAAATGGGCAAAGTAGATATGAGTCTAAAGCTGTAATGGGCACTTCTTGTTATTTCTAAATTGTTTTTGGTTGTAGCCAGGCAAGTCAGAATACTCTGGAGTGCAACATCCCATTGTTGTGCTGCCCACCATAAACGTCACTTGGAACCTGTTTACTCTGTAGCTGCCTCTGTTCCATTCCCCTACCTGTCCTTAACCTCAAGAGCAGGGCAAGGCAAAGGGGAGCAGGGAGCAAGGTGGGGGCTATATTAAAAAAGACAAAAAAGAAACGGGCATTTTGTAACATATATGATTGTTGAATCACTAAGTATAGTACACTTGAAACTAATACATTGTATGTCAACTATACTTCAATTAAAATTTTTTTTAAAGGAGACAAAAATATTTTATCTTCCTGACTTCTTAGTGTTGCTTTCCATCTTTTACTTCCCTTAGAGTTTACTATCCTAATGATCCTCTATGGGCATCCCAGACTTAACCACTGTTACACTTCAGCCAAGTCTGCCCAAGGTCCCTCAGAATTACTTCTTTAAGATCTCCACTCACTTCCTCACACCTCACCCCCAAATCCAAAAAGAATTCCTATTCTCTGGTAGGAAAGCAGTTTAATTAAGCTATATTGCCTCAAGGTTGTCTCCCTACCCCCCCAAATGTCACCCCTGTAAACTTTCTCTAGGTGTTTAAAAGCCCTTAAGGAATGACTTTTTCTTACTACTTGTCTGAATCAGAAAAGAAGTTTCCTATGGCAGGAAACTTCCTAGGGGATTAAAGAGAGAGAACCATAGCCAAAAGTTCTGGGAATCATCCCCCACATTCAACTTCTAAGAAGTGAGGAAAGTAGATATGGTGTGCCCAGGAATAGTTGATTAGGTCATAATATCACCCTTTCCCACTTATTCACAATAATTAAGCATTTATTTTTAATTACCAGGGTCACAATAGTGGCTGTGCATATTACTAAGTGAATATCAAATTAACTACTAAATTCTACTTCTTACTTGTACTTAATCCTGATTTATTTGTTGCTTATTAATATGATCACCTGCTCTCAACTTAAGAGGCAGCATTGCTAAAAGGTACTTATGTGTGCTATAATTAGTATATATAGTTAGAATATCTTGGTTTTAAAAGAATAAAAAAATTAACTGAGCTATTAGAGTTATCTGTGAGAACTTTTAAGTTTCTTAACTTCTAGGACTTTGTGTGCTTTGAAATCATGTTTCTTTATGATATTTGATCTGGTAATATTTGATAATATCATGAGCCTGGAATTTGTGACCATTTGAAAGGGGATTAAAAAGCTACTAACTTTTTTTAAGATTTTATTTATTTATGAGACAGAGAGCGCAAGCATAAGTGGAGGGAGGGGCAAAAGCAGAGGCAGAGGGGGAGGGAGAAGCAGACTCCCCACCGAGCAGGGAGCCCAACGTGGGCTCCATCCTAGGACTCTGGGATCATGACCTGAGCCGAAGGCAGACACTTAACTGACTGAGCCACCCAGGCGCCCCAAAAGCTATTAACTTCTATGAAAAATCACAGACTTCTTAGATAAATTTGGCTATAAACTTAGAAAAAACATTAAAATACTAACCAAGATAAAGGATATACAGTGTCAGGGTTTTTTTTTGCCTCTAATTGGGTAATCAGACGACCACACGTTAAGAGGTTCCCTTTGGTTTAGTACCTGCAGGCTGGTTTTCCTGGGACTCTGCTGTACCATCTGTGTACACAAGTTGCCATTCAGCAGCCTCCTGTTCTCCACAGTACAGCTTGCTCAGATGTTACTGGAGGCTCAAAGAACTGTTTCTGATAAACCTGTAGAGCTTTGGTATATCAGATATATTTGCTATAGCTTATGTACTTTCATACTTTTGCAATAACGTAGACTTCTAAAATATGTTATTTGTTTCTTTTACAGGATAATGAAGGTCAGACAGCTCTACATTATGGTAAGATGTTTCCAAATTATTAATAATCATATTAGAAAGTTTTCTCTATTTATTTCAGCTTTGTCCAACCCTGTGTAATGCTTAGAAAAATGCCTGGTCAGTTGGTGCAGCCACTGTGGAAAACAGTATGGAGGCTCCTCAAAAAATTAAAAATAGAATTACCATTTGATCCAATAATTCCACTACTGTATATTTACCCAAAGAAAACAAAACACTAATTCAAAAAAATATGCACCCCTATGTGTATTGCAGCATTATTTATAATCACCAAGATACGGAAGCAACCCAAGTGTCCATTGATAGATGAATGGATAAAGAAGATAAATGGATAAAATAGACATATATACACATATACACTAGGAAATACTGCTCAGCCACAAAAGAAGAATGAAATCTTGCTATTTGCAGCAACATGGATGAACCTAAAGGGTATAATGCTAAGTGAAATAAGTCAGTCAGAGAAAGACAAATGCCACATGATTTCACTCATTTAAGGAATTAAGAATTTAGGAAACAAATGAACAAAGGAAAAAAGAGCCAGACTCTTGTACAGAGAACCAGGGGCACCTGGGTGCCTCAGTCGGTTGTGTCCAACTCTTGATCTCAGCTCAGGTCTTGATCTCAGGGTTGTGAGTTCAAGCCCCATGTTGGGCTCCATGCTAGGCTTAGAGCCTGCTTTAAAAAAAAACAGAGAACAAACTGGTGGTTGCCAGAGGGGAGGTGAGTGGGGGCATGGGGGTTGGTGAAATGGGTAAAGGAGATTAAGGCTATACTTATCTTAATGAACACTTGAGAAATGTATAGTATTATTGAACCATTATATTGTATATCTGAAACTAGTATAACACTGTTGTTAATTATACTTGAATTTTAAGAAATAATATAAAAACAAATTTAAAAAGGAAAATGGTCACTAGCAGAAATACAGTCATTTTTGTTTAAAAATAGATTAATAACGTCTACAGTTGGAGATATGTTAAAATTCTTATGGGAACATTCATAGTAAATTGAGCCTTTCAATACCATCAGCAGAAATGGAGGCTCCTCCAGTCCCCCTTTGAAAATTCATTATTTCATTCTTGTTACTGTCAGTGACAACTGAGATGCTAATCATCGTCACTGTAGGAGCTCCAGTCTCTTCTACAGGAAATACTTTCTTGATGTAATTGAAGCGAAGAAAAATAGGTTTGATTTTTTAACTCATTTCACTTACTAACTGATTAGCTTAGTTGAGTAATCTTCACTTAACTAATCTATAAAATAGAGGATAATCTGTAAGATGGACATAGTGTGGCTCTTAAAGAATACTGGGTAAATTCAGTGAGATAAAAATACTGAAGTATTTTGTAAATAAAGCACTTAGTAAAGTGTCCTTACTTTTATTCTATTTGGGTGTGAATGTGGTTGAGTAAAAGACAACCATCAATATTTAAATCAGATTAAGGATCAACTACCTTCAGACTTTGGGAGACAGGATACATTAAGCTCTTTTGCCAGTTTTGGCCATCCTGGACCACCATTCAGTAATAAATGACCCAGATGCCCCAGATGTTCACTGCTTATTAGCATTTGCTTGGATGTCAGAAACCTCACTAAGTTGTCCAGGAGTCTAAACTATTGGGCTAGCTGTTGATGCTAACTATGTTTATCAGCCCAGTAATGAAGATTAAATATCACCAAATGCATGCCCCAACTCATCTATGAGTTTAGCTAGTATAACGTGGGTACCAAAACCAGCAAAAAAAGGAAAATTGTGAGTCAGTCTCACTTTTGAACATATATGTAAAAATCCTAAGTAAAATATTAGCAAATGAAATCTATCAATGTATTTTTTATAAAGATGTGATTTAAGTTGAATTTATCCTAGAAATTCAAAGGATTTAACAGTTTAAACATTTATTAGTGTAGTTTGCCACATTAGTAAATTAGTTGAAAAACCATTTGGACAAATCAGATGTAGAAAAAGCAATTGAGGAAATTCAATACAGAATGCAATATAAAGACGTAATACAGAGAAGTAGTTAAGACCCCAGGCTCTTAAGCCAAACTTCCGGGTTCAAATTCTAGTTCTACTACTGAACTTGGACAGATTATTTAACTTCAGTGAACCTGTTTACTTATGGTGAGATAGGAATAATAATAACCTCAGAGATATGTTATAAACATATAATAGGCTAATCTATGTAAAGTGCTTAGGACAATGTCCAACACCTTGTAGGTACTCAGTAAATGTTAGCTAATATGATTGTTTATGATAAAAACTCTTAATAAACTAGATATGCAAGGAAACTTCTATGGCCTGATTAAATTATATGTCAAAAACCTAGCGCAAATATTACTAAAGGTGAAATGTTTGAAGCATTTCCTTTAGAAACAGGAATGAGAAAAGGATGCCTCCCAAAACTAAGTTTCTTTAATATTATATTGGAATCCTAGATTACACAGAAAGAAAAGCAAAAGAACTAAAAAGTACATGGGATGGATAAAAAGAAACAAAATCATCATTAATCTCAAAATAAGTAGCTACATAGAAATTCAAGAGACTCTACAGTCAAATTATTAAAACTAATACAGTTTAGCAAAGATGCTGAATACAAGATCAGTTTTTTTAAATTACATTCTTAAACATTAGTATAAAAGGTAGAAAATAAATATAAAGACCTAAGTCCTGGGCAAGTGCAGTCAAGAGATGGAGGCTCCTTCATTCTGTCCAGCATCCCCCCATGAAATGGAGGCTTGGATGGGGTACTCTGACAATGCTGAAGCCCTGATCACCCTTGCCCGGGCTTGCAGGGTAGTGGCTCCATGCCAGGAGAGGCAAACCAGGCTCCCCGCGCACTGCCACCAAGCACCAACCCCTAAAGCAGGGGGAGGAAGGGTGTCACTCAAAGAGAAGCTTGCTGTTGTCCACACTCCCAGCTCCAGAATCTGGCTCAGAGATTTTGCCTGGGGGGAGAAGCAGACTAAAACAGCTCCTAATCTCTTCCCAAAGGAACTGACTTCATTTGCAGCAGAGCCTGGAGAAGTTCAAGGCTAAGGGTACTCTCAAGAATAGTGGGGAGGATGGGAGAATACTACATCTGGGAGGAGCCTTCATGAGTAAGAACAAATATCAAACACTGACCTTTAAAGAAGCCACAATTTGATTGGGTTGGTTTGTAGGACAGTTTATGGCCCAGTTGAGTGGTTTCCTTTGAGCACTTTCAATATGTTATCCCACTGTGTTCTGACCTTGAATATCTATTTATAGAAATAAGGAATCTATATCTGGCAAAGCTGTCTTTCAAAAATGAAGATGGAATAAAGTCTTTCCCAGATAACAAAGACTGAGAGAATTTGTTGCTAGCAGACTGACAAGAAATACTAAAGGAAAAGATTCAGACTAAAAGCAAATGACCCAAAAAGTAATTCAAATCCATATGAAAAAACAAAAGAGCACCCATAAATACAATTATATAGTTATAAAAGGCAGTATAAATGCATACTTTTTTCTCCTTTCTTTCCTTAACTGATTTTAAAAAGTAATGTCTAAAATAGTATGTATATAATGTATTATTGGGCCCATAGCATATAGAAGTATAATATATTTGCCAATAACAGCCCAAAGGAGATGGATGAGGACAAAGTTATAATGGGTTAAGGAAGTGACTACAGATGTTAAAGTAATTGTAATAATGTCTTGTTGGATTTGTAACATTAATAGATGTAACAGGTATAACAATACTACCACCAAAAGAGGGAAGATGCCATAGAAATATAAGGGAGTAATGTTTCTACATATCACTGGAATTAAGCTGAGTATAAATCTGAAGCTGAAGGTAAAACGCTTATGTGGTAAACCCTAGAGCAACCACTTAAGAAAATACTCAAAATAGACGATTCGAAAATAATAGTTGGAGATTCCAGCACCCCACTTTCAATAATGGGTAGGACAGCTAAACAGCAGGTAAACAAGGAAATGGAAGACCTGAACAACACTATAAACCAACAAGATCTAACAGACATCTATGAAACGCTCCATCCAACGACAACAGAATATATGTAAGTTTCAAGTGCACATAGAGCATTCTTCAGGATACACAATATGAAGGCCATGAAACAACCTCAATAAATTTAAAAGAATAGAAATAATAATACAATGTATGTTCTCCAACCACAGTGGAATGAAATTAGATATCAAGACTTGAGAACTCACAAATATTAGGAAACTAATAAACTTACTATTAAATAACAAGTGGGTCAAGGAGGAGGAAATTAAAAGAGAAATCAGAAAATACTTTGAGATGAATGAAAATGAAGATAACATATGCCAAAACTTATGGAGTGCAGCTAAAGTAGTGCTTACAGAGAAATTTGTAGCTGTAAATGCTTTTGTTAAGAAAGAAAAAAAATCTCAAATCAGTAACTAACTTAATCTTCCACTTCAAGACACTAGAGAAAGAAGAGCAAACAAAGCCAAAAGAAAACAAAGAATAATAGAGATTAGTGTAGAAAAAAGTGAAATAGAGAATAGAAAAACAATAGAAAAAATCAACAAACTAAAAATTAGTTCTCTGAAGCAAAAGAACCAGCTGGTCAACCCACAGGATCATGAAAAATAATACATTGTTGTATTTAAGCCACTAGATTTTGAGTGGTTTGTTATACAACAGTAGATAACCAAATAATGTACCCCATACACATAAATCAATTTTAACTGAATCAAATGCATATGTAAACAAAAGCAAAATTACGAACTTTTAAATGAATAGGGTAAGGAAGGGTTTCTTAAGAAAACACTCAAAAATACAAATCATAATTTAAATTATGATAAGTACATTAAAAATTTTAAACTTCTGTTAAACAAAAGATAGTGTGAGCAAAGTAAAAATGCAAGGCACAGACTGGGAGAAGATATTTAAAATGCAAATAACCTGCATAAGATCATTATTCAGAATATATCAAGAACATCTACCCAGCCAATAAGGAAGACAATCAAACAGAAAAATAGACCCCCAAAA